AATGAGTGGTGCAATCAGGGGTGTGGCCCAATATGCTAATGAGTTTCTGCTGTTGGGTGTGGCCTATTATGCTAATGAGTTCCTGCTGGACTTTTTCTACAAAAAGAGCCCTGCGGTGCGCGATCACACTGCAGCATCTGGGAAGCGTAGTGCACCCGTGGCTAACCCATGGGTTCTCGCCGAAGATGCGGAGTAAAAAACTACCACATACGATGTACTAGTTTCTGGAAAACGCGGGGCAAGGGCGGGCGTCTGATCACGTTTCCGCTTGAATCCCGTGGCATCCGGTTCCCATCCATGTCCTGTCACACACCGAATGGTGGGTTTTTTTGTAAGTCTCTGCAGGATGCGCACAAACGATCATGCCGTGCCGCTTCTTTGCTGCGCTGCAGGATAGCCATGTGATCGGCACCTAACGGCCTAACCATGGGACCTCGACAGGACGTGTGATCGGGCTGCCGCGCATTACTTTGCTCCGGGGCTAACAGCCACGCCCCAACCCCCTCCCCCATTTTCCGGCCCATGTGACCGGGGCCATAGTTACTTTTCTGGTTTTACTTTTAATTCCATATGCACAGGATCACTCCCCACAAAATGTTGTAGGGAGTGATCATCCAACAGCCAGTTGCTGCAAGATGTTTGTTGTAAGAACTAAAGGGCTGGACTCTGCAAACACAGCAGATCAAGGTTTTGTTAAACCTGCACATATATGGCTATCAATGTACCCTCTATGTTGTGGAGTCTTGTGAGCAAAAATTCTACTTTGTGAGCTACGGGCATTAAAGCTGTGAGCGAGCAATTTGGCTGCCGCATAAATTAGTTTGCTCTAGAGCCATGCTTCCTAAGCGAAGACAAAAATGTGTGAGCTGGAGGCTAAAAAACTGTGAGCTAGCTCACACTAACTCAGCTTAGAGGGTACACTGATGGCTATGTGCTCTGCAGCTGAAGATAAGCTTTTCAAGAGGTCACTTGTCAAAATTGCATGCTTAACATTTAAAATCTCATATTGTACTCAAGATGGACTCTGATCCCAGATTCATTTTTGCACCCCCTCCCCCCAAACTGCAGCGGTGAAAAGACTGGAGCTGAAAGGCCAAAGGGCAGTGTGGTGGCTAAATTTGTATGCAAATACAACACGGGAGACTTTACAATGTGTTTCCTGTTTACACAGAGAATGGCGATAATACAATTTCCATACATGAGTGAATGTTTATGCTTCTGCTCAAGTGAAACATTGTTCATCCTAGAATTCCGCTGCACGTGTCTATGAGGCCTGAGTTTAAAATCCAGAGGGGCAAATTTTGCCCCCTAGTGTCTTCAAGCCTTCTCTCATACCAGGGTCTGCCAGCTAAAACCAAGCATTTTAGAGCTTGGGTATAGTCTGTAGAAAGCACCCTGAGCTGGGATCAGAAAGTTCCCTTCTTCAAAGCCCTCCTCTGTTAAAAACTCACAAGGTGGCCTTAGGCAAGTCAGTTTCTCCTTAGACCCTCATGGGCAATACATGGTGACAATGGTACTGGCCTACTTGGCAGGGTTGTTGTAACATGTATAACAAGGTAGTGCATGCAATGCTATTTCAACAGTGAAATCACTATATAAATGCTAGGGAGGAGGAGAGGATGGACAGTTCTTGTGTGTGCTCACAAGCCTCACCACCATAAAAGGATACAGTCCATACATGGCCTCCTGATGTCGCAACATAGGCCACAATTGTGCTATAATGTGAAAGCCAGCAATCAACAGGCAGGGCAGATCACTCAAGAAAGTGAGCCAAGCCAGAGACTACAGGATAAGGCAGACACCATAAGCATGTAGAATGCTTTGTAGAAATCATTGCTCGTTAGAAAACTTTTATCATTGTAGAGGTGGCTTGTCAGACTGCATACCAGAAAACACCACCAGTAAAGTTTTCTAGAGCCACCCTTCGCAAATGCACTACAACTACCACAATGTGATTTGCCAGCCTCCAGGTGGGCCCTGGCATATTCCCAGAATTACAACTGATCCCCAAATTACCGAGCTCAGCTCCCCTGGCAAAAATGGCATCTTGAGAGGATGGGCTCTATGGCATTATACCTCCTGAAGTCCCTCCTCTCCTCCAGCTCTGCCCTTCCCAGGTTACACCCCCAAATCTTTAGGAATTTTCCAACCTGGAGTTGACAACCCTAACCACAATGTTCAGAGGGAAGAAGAACAAACATGGCAATGAATAGACCCAGGGGTCATTTCCTGCAGGAGCGCACAGGAGCGGAGCTCCGGCAGTAAAGAGCCCAGGGGGCGGGCACATGCAACAAGCCCCGCCCCCTGCTCCCAGCAGCCCTCAGTCAGAGCAAGAAGCAGCCAGGTAAGCTGCAAAGCTCCCCCTGGCCCCCCAGTCCAAAACAGTCCAGTGGCACCTTTAAGACTAAGTTTTATTCAGGTACAAGCTCTCCCTCCCCTGCGAGGACAGATCGTTTCCGCACCCCCACCCCCCCAATAGCTGGCAATCCAAAAGAGTCCAGTGGAGCCTGAGCGGTGGATGTTGCCTTCTGACACACTTCTGGTGATGTCAGGGGGTGTGGCATATGCAAATAAGTTATGCTAATGAGCTCCTGCTCCTCTTTTTCTATGAAATGACCCCTGAATAGACCCCACCTGATGTTTCTCCCCCAATAGCCCCTGGGGGGGGGGGAGGACTCCCCCTACACACATGTACATGCCATGCCATGTCTGCAAGGTATCCCCACCCCCCCACCCCCATTTATACATTGAGGTGAGTGAAAGCGGAAGCCATTTAGGGTTGCCAGCTACAGCTGCAAAAGTCCTGGAGGTTTGGGGAAACTGCCAGGGGAGGGTGAAGTTTGGGAAGGGGGCTTGGGGATGAGAAGAAGGAGAAGGGGGAGTCATTTCTTATACCCCACTTTTCTCAACCTTAAGGCATCTCAAAGCTTCCTCTCCCCACAACAGACACCCTGTAAGGTAGGCGGGGCTGAGAGAGTTCTGAGAGAACTGCTCTGGAGAGAACAGCTCGCATCATGTGGAGGAGGCGGGGGGAATCAAAGCCGGTTCTCCAGATTAGAGTCCACCACTTTTAAGCACGACGCCACACTGGGATGCGATCTTTTACGATAAAACTTCCCTCTCCCCCCCCCCCCACCGGCCCTTTCCCCAAGAGGAACTGTTTTC